AGAGGACTCAGATTAGGAATCTGATTGCCCAGTCTACAGACAAACATCAATGGATAGGCATAATAAAACTCACAGTGCATAGTCAAATCTGCTAGAAAGCCTGTGGTCAATTTCAAGGAACCTGTAAAATCTAGCATCAACCAGAGTTTTGCACAAAATTTAGAGCTGAGCTGTTCCAGCATTGGATTAGAGGCCAACTCTATTCACAGACTTGTTTACCCAACCATGATGCAGCATCTGATGGACAACAGTTCAGGTCTCATTGAAGCACAAGTAACGGCTGCCCAAAGTCTGGACGCTGCAGTGGAAAGTCAGACTGTTGTAATGCAAGATCAGCTTGTATTAGATATTAGAAAGGAGATGTTCAAGTTTCCTCATCCTAATTCTCACCATCTAGCTGGTGCCAAAGTGGGTACAGTGGTCTCCTTAAGATGGCAATGAAGTGAAGTTTGCAGCATATAACCATTAATGTTGCCACCCTCTCTGTCTCCTTTGTGGTGAAGACAAAGAAAGCATTGTTTCAGGAAGTCAATAACCTGCTCTAGTATATTTCAAGATTTCTGGATAATGATGTTTGGTGCCCATCCACCAAAAACATGATCAGGTACACTCCCCTGAGAATCGCCTGCAGCCACTTATGTTCCATAGAAGAGACAGAACTTCAATCCCTTACTTGGAACGAGATCCTGCTTCAGGGAGATGCTGGCATAATGATTGCCGTCCCTTCATTCTCGTAGGAATTTGCTATATTCCAGGGGAATTCCTACTATTGCACAAATGCCTGGCTTCGCACAGAAGCTTTGAAGTCAGCAAAAAGTCCTACTGTACCTGCCATATCATTCTCTGCAGACTTTTGCACCTTGGAACATTTTAGGCAGTATCAAATAAAAGCAAAATATTTCAGTTGCTGGAAGTCTGAGAAAAGTGCTGGAGAAGCCATGTAGGTCTGGCAACATTTGTTGAAGAGAAACAGAGTTAAAGTTTCGAGTATGACTTTTCTTTGGAACACTGATTCCTCAGATCCAAGGAGAAGTCATATTGGACTGAAAATGTCAACACTGTTTCTCTCTCCACAGATGCTGCTAGGCCTGTTTAGTTTCTCCAACACTTCCTATTTTCTTTATAGATAGTAGCAAACCTGGAATCACAGCAAAAGTCAGACCATGGATGGTGGTACGGTGGTGGTATGTTTGGAGGGGCGGGCAGGTGGGGCGGTGTGAGTAGTCCTTCCTACAAGTGAAAATGAGTGAAGAAGCAATGACCCCAAAATTGCTATCCATTGGGGTAGCACTGCATTGGAATACCAGGACGTAGAAGATGGCATAAAGGAAAAGTACTGTTGCATGCAATTACATACAGATGGACACCATAACCTGACACCTTGGTTTACCTCTGTCTATATTCACATCGTGTATGCTAACATCTGAACTGACACAGTGTTCAGTGCAATTCACCTCAAAACCATGAACAATGGATATCTTTTGGTCAAGGGCACTCAGCATGCACCTTTGCCAAAGGGCCTACTATCTCACTTGACGAAAATCTAGTTTTCTTAAAAGTTTAATTCTTAGCTTTAACAATATTTTCCATTCTTATATGGGGTATCCGTCCATCCCTCGCTTTAAAATTAGTCTCAGAGGAAAGCAATACTATTGAAATTACCATGACCACAGGTCTGAACTCCAAAGCAGTGTGGACATTTTCCACTTGTAATTCCAAAAAGTGTTTTTTTAAAAGAGATCTGATACAGACAAAAATGGCTACAGATGTAAGTTAAGTGGCTGAAGAAAGAGACCTATGGAATGTCACACTTATGGATACAAAGACAGCCCTTCAAAGAGGGAAGGGGAAGTCAAACAGATTGGATGTTGACACTTGTGACTACAAAGATAACACAGAGCTGATGACTCCATGCTCAACAGCAATCCTGTGGCATACCCTGTGGAGACTGTCCCAAACTGGAGACACACTTTGTGTTTTTCCCTTTGGAGGAAACACAGGGACGGAACCAGCTTTAATCTACTGGAGTGTACTGGGTTGGACTGAATGCTCTTGATTGTACCAGCCTGGGCTCAAGCATTCAAGTGCTGTGAAAGTCAAATCAAAGAACCATTCCCAAGTGACCCTTGTGTTACAGCGTGAGTGCTAAAAACCAGCCACCTAGCAGCTAGACAAAAGGAAACAGGACGACAAAACAGCTCTCTCTAAATGATGGAACTTAATAATGGCTGAAATACTTCTGAACTACAGATAGTCAATCTGCTAAACAAAGGATTGTGAAAAATGACTGTTCAACTATCAATATCAGTGTGGACAGTAAACTCCATTGTATTGGCTGCAATGTTCAATTAAACTGACCTTTGCAAACAATTCAGAGACTGATCCATATATCTTTTATCTTTTTTGACTCATCTCTTCATTTCTAAAATGTATGTGCCTGTGTTACATTCCTGATTCTTCTTGCACTGAATAATGAATAACCTTCCTCTCTGTTAACTCAAGAAAACCTGATCAAATGGAAATCGTTGGATTTTCAATCAGTAAGTGGATCAGAAGTTAAGGGAGAAGCCGGGAAAGTGTTGAGAATTATCAGATCGATCATTGATTATCAGGGCAGACTCGATTAGCCAAATGGCCTGCTTCTATTCCTATGTCTTATGATCTTATGGCTCCTTTTCAAACATACGTTTTTCTGGGCCTGGGAGAAAGGCATCCAAAATGGAAGGGATCCATTTTTTAATTAATGTTGTTGCAAACAACTGAGGGAATATTGTATGTCAAAGGGGAGACAGTTCATCCCTCTTCACCTCGGAGCTTAATGGTTTGGGCTATGACATGGGAACCATGTCTATGGTTTGGGTGTAACAAATTAAACAGCCGTTTTGTTTAAAAAGAAGACCTTGTTAGAAAATCTCTGAAATTATTTCAACTCAAATGGTGTGGAAGTACAGAAATTGCCTGGGATTTCCTAATTGGGAGCATTTGGTGGTAAGGAATACCACACAATATAAAAATAAGTCAGTTGATGAAAATCAAAGTGTGCAATACAGAACTATCAATATCTTGCGGGAATCTGAAGTTATGTTTTCTCTATTGGGACGCTAATGAGTAACTTAAAGGGCAGTGCTTGTTCACATTTTAGATTATTAGCAATTCTGAAGGTAGAATAATTAATCAACCTTTATTTAAATTCACGTTAAGAACACGCATGTAATATATCTTGCCACATTTCTGCACCAAATGCTAAGTGTTTTTTTGGAAGAAACACTTCTAATATCAAATTGTCACATCAAAAATGCACTACAAGGTGGCTGTGCAATTAAAAAAAAGAACCACGGTCGCTTACAATTTATTTTTCATTCTTCTGATCTTAAAGATAAGCATCAAAAAGCAATGATTAGCTGCTGCAAGCAGCGCAAGGATACAGTCCCTTCCTGGAAAGAGGATTTTGTGGCGGACCATTTCTCCCATAATGCACCCCACAGACCAAATATCCACTATATGAGTTTAGAGAATGGGTGATAACAAGAAGTTATAATTAGAATCATGAACGTTATATTTAAAGTGAAACATTGTTACGGATGAGAAAATATATAATAATTGAAGGCCAGAGGAAGTGTCTACCCAAAATCCTGAAAGTTAAACAAACTTAAAACAGCATTAATGAAGATTTTTTTAATGACTTGATTTAAAATAAATATAAACAAGTTTAGAGTAAGTATTTCAAATCACAAGCTGGCCATTCTAAGCTAAGTGCCAACAATGTCTGGGGGAAATTATAGTCTAAATTCTGCACAAAAATTAATACTCATCCATATTTATTTATGACAATGCAGCCAAAATGCAAAACTAATTAGTAAACTATAATTTCTATAGAACATAATGTAATAAGACATATACAATATGTTGATAATAGGAAATGGGAGCACACAGCACCATTGTGGCTTATTAGCAGAGAATGCCCTATTTATTGCAATGTAAATACAACTTATATCTTAAACAATTGCTTTCACTCTGATAACAGAAGGTTAAAAAGACAGCCAATTATCATTTATCTCCACTTTACCATGCCAGAATTTGTCAAATATTATCTCATATTATGAATGATTCATTAATATTTATGTGTATTTCCAATCATATTTCAAGTTTGAACTGAGTTGGAAAGCTGACATTGTCAGTTTTCCATAATGTTAAAGAAATTGCTTACTTTCCTTGAGAAACAAAATCCCAAGTCCAGTGAATAATGAATATTTATTTGCAAGCCATCTCTTTGATTATTTTCCTTGGATTTTGTTTTTAAGAATGTTCTTTGGATGTGTGTGGGGAAAGTTGCATTTATTGACCCATCCTAATAACCCTCAGAAGGTGGTGGCAGGTCTCCTACTTAAACCTGTGCTGTCTTTTGTGGTGATGGTGTTACTCATAATAACCACACAACCTTCAACTAATGCAGTAAAGTGGGCTGCTTTTCTAAGTGCTGCAATCACCAACGTCTACCTTTTGACTGGGTAATTTCTTCCTTTATTCAATATTCTGCAATACTATCCAGTCACCTGGCAGAGCTGACTGAGAATTCTGAAGAAAGGTCACAGAGCAGGAATGGCTGTTTTTCTCTCTCTACACAGTTGCGTCTTAACCTGCTGAGATTTTTTATTCCCAGCATTTTCAGTTTTTTATTTGAGAGTTGATAAGTTCATCTCACCAAGCCAAGCATCTGTGGCCAGCAACTGGAGTACTTAGCTAGGCTGTCCAGTCTTTTGAATCAGGGTCAGTCAGTTCTCAGGTAGTTGACTAGATGGTGCTGCAGATCATTAATTTGAATTAAGCTACCACATCTGGATAAAGCAATTACTTTACACCAAATCATTCGGTAAGTAGAAGGCTTATATTAGTTATTTTTAAAGTTAACAGGACGTTCCAAGTATGTATGACATACTGGTATGTTTTGCATATTACAAAACTGAACAATGTAAAATATGATTGTTCAGTAAAGATCTCACCATTTTCTTTGTACCCCATCCCCAGAATTACTTCTGGTGCTCTATAATAACGGGTTACTACATAGGGAGTCATCATGAAGCTTGTTCCCGCAGTCCTTGCCAGGCCAAAGTCAAGGATTTTCAGCGTGCAATCTGACTTTACCACGATGTTGCTGGGTTTTAGATCCTGTGAATATAGAAGAATAAATCAAAGTGCAAAATAATTTATCAGCTCTCTGATATTTACATCACTAGCAGCTATTTATTTCCAAGGTACTAAAACCGAATTCAAATCCTCACACTACTGGGAAGAGATTTGAGTTCACATTCCCTGGATTGTAATTCCAGCCTAATCCTGCTTCAGTTACTAGTCCAGTCACATATCCATGACCACAGCTGCGCTGGTGCTGAAGTTCAAGGCCCTCTTGTGGTGCAGTAGTGGATCCCTACCCCTGGATCAGGAGGCCTCAGTTCCAGTGCCACCTGCTTCAAAGGTGTGTAATAACATCTCCGTACAGGTTGATGAGAAAAATAGGTTCATGCTGAAATTTAACTTACCAATTGGTGTGGACAGGGGATGGATGTGTTCAGGATTGTATGCTCCATCCACTGACATCAAACATGAAGTGATCTAACCAATAGTCTAAAAGGAACAAGGAGTTGTGTAGGGTATTGTCAATAGTCTAGCAATCCAAAGACCCAGGCCAATGCTCTGGGAGCATGGGTTCAAATCCAGAGCGGAAATTTGAATTCTGTTGCAGACTAGTGTTGAACTCTGAAACCATTCTCACACAAACTTCGGGAAGGAAGAGCTGCCATCCTTGCCTATCCTGGCCTGACTTCAGATCCACAACACTGTTGTTCACCCTGAAATGGCCTAGCAAGCTACCCAGTTGTATTTAACTGCTAAAAGTCTGATAAAAGTAATGAACCAAATGGAGCACTTGGCATTGAACAAAACACTGGAAATGACAACGGCAAACACAGCCTTGTCAACCTACATAGAAACGAGAAATAGGAACAGGTTCTTGGAACATGCTCTGCCATTCACTATGATCATGGATAATCCTTTATCTCAATGCCATATTCTTCTTTCTCCCCAGACCCCTTGATATCTTTAAAATCTAAAAATGTACTTAAACTCTTTCTTGAATGCATTATAGTGACTTGGCCTCCACGGCTTTCTCTAGTAAAGAATTCCACAAGTTCACTACTCTTTGAGTGGAGGCTTTTTTCCCCTCATCTCAGTCCTAAATAGTTTACTCAGTATCCTGAGATGTGTCTCCTGGTACTAGACTCCCCAACCAGGGAAAACCTCCTCCCTGCATCTAGTTTGTCCACACCTGTTAGAATTTTATTTGTTTCAGTCAGACCCTCTCTTATCCTTCTCAACATTAGTAAATACAGACCCAGTCAAACCAACCTATTCTCATATGACATTCCCACCATTTTCTGCCTCAGCCTAGTGAACGTGGGCTACACTCCCTTTATGTCAGGCATGTCCTTTCTTAGGCAGGGAGGCCAAAACTGCACACAATACTCCAGGTGTGTTCTCACCAAGACCCTGTGTCATTACAGTAAGACATCTCTATTTCTGAACTCAAATCCTCTTGCAATGAAAGCCATTGCATCATTTGCCTTGCTAATTTTTGGCTGCATTTGCCTATCTATTTTCATTGACTAGTGTACAAGGACACACAGATCCTTTTTTATATCTACATTTTCCAGTATATCACTATTTAAATAATACTCTTCCTTTCTGTTTTTCACACTTTACATTCAGTCATGTTCTACTGTATATGCCGAGTGCTTGCCCACTCTCTGTGCTAGTTTGAATCACCTTGAAGCCTACTTGCATCCTCTTCACAACTCACAATCCCACCCAGCTTTGTGTCATCAGCAAACTTCAAAATGTTGCATTTGGTTCCCTCATCCAAGCCAATTATATATATTATCAATAACTGGGGCCTAAGCACTGATCCTTGCAGTACTGCATTTGTCACTGCTTGCCACTCAGAAAAAGATCCATTTAGACCCAGTCTCAGTTTCCTGTCTGTCAATCAATTCTAAATCTATGCCAATATATTAACTCCTATCTCATGTGCTTTCATTTTCCTCATTAACTTCCCATGAGTGACCTTGTCAAAAGACTTCTGAAAGTCCAAATGCACCACATCCACTGGTTCTCCCTTATCTATTCCAAAAGTTACATCCTCAAAAATATCTAGTAGATCTGTTAGGGATGACTTGCCTTTCATAAACCCATGTTATCTTTGTGCAACCTCATTGATGCTTTCCAAATGCTCTGTTATTCTTGTACTTTACAATATTCGGCTAACTGCTCTATAATTGCTTTTTTCTCTCCCTCCCTTTTTAAATAATGGAGCTACATTTTCAACCCTGTAATCAGTAGGAACTGCTCCAGAGTCCAAAGAACTTTGACCACCAATGAATCCAATAATTACTGAGGTGTTTCCTTTAGAGTTCTGAGATGCAGATTTTCAGGCCCTAATTATTTGTCAGCCTTTGACTCTATTAATTACCCTAGCACCATCTTCTTACGATTACTCATTTCCTTCAATTATGCTCCCATACTAGGCCCTTGGCTCCCCAACATTTCTGGGAGATTACTTGCACCTTCTTTTTTGAAGACTGAAACAAGATATGTGTTCAGTTCTTTTGATATTTCTTTGTTCCCCATTATAATTTCCCTGGCCTCTGACTGACATGTTTGCCTTGACATATTTATAGAAGGTTTTATGGTCAGTTTATATGTTCCTCATTATTTTACTCTCATATTCTATTTTCTCTCTTTTGATCAATGCTTTTGTCGTATTTTGCTGAATTCTAAGATGCTCTGAGTCATCAAGTTTGCTGCTTTTTCTAACAATTTTATATATATATCGTCTTTGGACCTAATACTATTCCTAATTTCTTTTGTAAGCCATGGATAAGCTACCTTTCAGATCCAACTTTTTAAATTAACTCCTAACTCCCCATTTTCTGCTTGTAGGACCTCATCACTTTTTTTCCTTAGATCGTTGACATCAGTACATACCATGACCACTGGCTGTTCACCCAACCTCTTCAGAAGGTCCTGCAGCTACTCTGAGACATCCTGGACCCTGGCACCATGGAGGTAACATACCATCCTGGAGTCTCTTTTGTGGCCACAAAATGCCTGAAGTATTCCCCTTACCATTGAGTATTACTAGCTTTGCTATTCTTCTTCACCAATCTTGTGCATCAGAGCCACCCATGAATTTGGCACTCACTGATATCCCCTGAGAAAAGCAGCGCTCCCCCTACAAAACTGTATTCAAAATGGTATATATCCATTAGAGAGGGGGACGGTCACGTTCCGTACTAGCTGTCTTCCTCTACTCTGTCTGCCAGTCACCCATGTCCTTTCTGCCTTTTCAATCTTCACCATGGTAAGATCATCACACTGACTGTCCTGTCCATGACAATCTCAGATTTTTTAGGTTTAGATTTTATTCTCGTGTGTACTCCAATACAGAGGTACAGGAGTACAGTGAAAAGTGTATACTGTCACCACACAAGGTGCCATCTTAGGCACCAAGATACTGAGGTGCAAAAAACTTAGGTACAAATCAGTAAAAGAAACAGATTTAAAGAGATAAGCATTACCTCATAGAATAAGTAGAAAAAATAAACAAATAAGATAATAGTTAACATTAAAGTCTTTCTCAATTTAAACTAGGAAAATAAAGGAATTAATCAAAAGTTCGGCAGCATTGCAAATGCTCTACAGCGAGTCCACTCTCTGCTCCAGCTCTGAAATGCATTTAGTCAGTAGTTGCAGCTGGACACATATCCTGTGTACATGGTCACCAGGAGCACCAGAAGTGCCCATGATTTCCCACATAGCATAAAAGAAGTAAATCACAGGTACAAGCCCCACTGTCATGACTTCCTGTTCAACTAATTTGTAGACTATCCCACACAGCAGTTTCTTACTAAACAATGAATTTACAGGTTTTCCTGTGATGTCACTCTTTGTTTTGCCCGCTGTTTTGAAGTCAGTGTTAGCTGCTCCCTCACAGATCTTCACCAGCTCCCAAGATCAGTAACGTAGATCTCAAGCCTCAAAACTGATTTATATTTACTGCTTCTCCCACTGCCTCTCCAACCCCTCAGGTAACCTTCCAAAAATGCAACACGTCAGCCAAAGCTCTTCTAAATTTTCTGTGATGTCACTGTTGTTGTTTTTCAGCAAAAATTGGCTACAGGCCACTCTTCCCAGACTGCTTCACTGTAAAGCTAGCTGCGGGGTACTCCTGCCCCAAACTGTTGCACTGCAATACTGACCATGGGACATTCTTCCCAGGCTGCTTCACTGCCATCTGACTATAGGACACTCTTACCAGCAAAGCCATCATTATCAACAACTGGTCGAAAAATAGCAGAGCTGTCCCACAGACTAGCATAGCTATTGCCTGACATCATTATACTCATGGGTTTGCTGTTTCCTAATGTCCCAGACACTATCCTCATCATGCCATGGTATCTTCTGTTGAATGAGAGGTGGCAGCATGGAGGTATACTGTCAGGAGGAAGATGCTCCGGGAGTCCACAACATTGAGTTTGGTGTCTCACAGCACCAGATCAGATGTGAGCAAGGAAACCTCATATCTAACCCCTTCAGCTGATGAATCAATTCTCAGGACGATCTTGGAGAGTGGCAAGGGTGCAGCATGGGTGATTTCAACAGCCACCACCAAGAGTGGCTCAGAGCACAACTACTGACTGAGCTGGTAGAGTTCGAAGGACATTGCTGCTAGACTGGATCTGTGGCAAATGGTGAAGGAATGAGCAAAAGGAAAACCATATATGACCTTATCCTCACCAAGCTGTCTGCCTAGTATTGGTAAGACTGACCACTAAACAGTGTTTTTGTGGAGACAAAGCTGTGCCTCCATTATGTTGTGCAGCACTACCAACATACTGAATAGGACAGACTTCAAACAGACCTAGCATCTCTAAAACTGGGTGTCCATTGGGCGCTCTGGTCCATCAGCAAACACAAAATTGTATTCAGTCACAATCAGTAACCTCAAGGCTGGGGAGATTCCCCCCATTCTACCACTGCTATCAAGCCAGGGAATTAACTCTAGCTCAGTGAACAGTGCAGGAAGGTATGCATGGAGCAGAAGCACACCTAAAAATGAGGTGGCAACCTGGTGAAGCTACCAAACAGGACTACTTGCATACCATTAGCAATGACAGATAAAGCTAAGTAATTCTACAACCAACAGATCTGATCTAAGCTCTGTGGTCCTGCCACATCCGGTTGAGAATAGTGGTGGACAATTAAACAACTCACTGAAGGAGGAGGCTCCACAAATATCCCCATCCCCAAAGATAGAAAAGCCCAGCACATCAGTGCAAAAGACAAGGCTGAAGCAATGCATTCATCTTCAGCCAGATGTGCTGAGGGCATAATCCACCTCAGCTTCCTCCTCAGGTTCCAGCATCACAGATGTCACTCTTCAGCTAATTTGATTCACTCCATGTGATATTAAGAAATGGCTAAAGGCACTGGATACTACAAAGGCTCTGAAGTCATTCCCTCAATAGTATTGAAGTGGTCATGTTCGCTGATGATTGCATTTACTATTCCTCAGATATTGAAGCAGTCCACGTTCAAATGCAGCAAGATCTGAACAACATTCTCAAAGCCTATCTATCATCTATGAGGCACGTGTCAGAAATGTGATAGAATATTCTTCACTTACCTGGAGAAGTGCAGCTCTAACAGCACTCAAGATATTTGACAAAGCAGCCCACACATTTGATATTCCATCTGACACCTTCAACAATTACTCCCTCTACCACTGAAACATATTGGCCACAATGTGTACCATCTTCATAATACACTGCAACAACTCACCAAGGCTCCTTAGACAGCACCTTTCAAACACACATTATGGGTCTACCCACAGCACATGGACTGCAGGAGTTCAAGAAAGTAGCTTGTCACCTCCTTCTCAAGGGCAACAATGGATGGGCAATAAATGGTAGCCTAGTCAGTGATATCCTGTGAATTATTGTTTTCATTCAAAATTTTGTTATGTTTTCTTGGCTCCATAAAAATTACTGAACTTGCTGCAAGAACAGAAATTCCTGGAAAAGCTCAGCAGGTCTGGCAGCATCTGTGGAGAGAAATCAGAGTTAACGTTTCAGGTCGAGTGACCCTTTCTCAGCGTTCTGAGGAAGGTTCATTTGATCTGAAGTGTTAACTCTGATTTCTCTCCACAGATGCTGCCAGACCTGCAGATGTTTTCCAGCAATTTGTGATTTTGTTTCTTATTTACAGCATCTGCAGTTCTTTTGTTTTTTTTTTATTTACTATAACCTGCTGTTTGTCCTTCTACACCTTTAGCATTTGAGTGCATCCCCCTCACATCATTAGGGCATTTCTTTCAGCTTTACCAGTACAGGGAACAACCAGACTTTCAATTTCCTTCCCCGCTCCCACAATCTACTCTGTCAGGTCACTGTGATAATTCAAACTAAACTCAAAAATGAGACTGATTGTGTCATCCAGCAATTTCATCGGATGTTAAGCAGGCTCAAACTGGCCTGATGGAATGGGAATTCTGAAAATCTACTGGATTTTAATATGAAGTGTCAATATGTCCAGGTCATATAAGTAATGGATTGAATTTGCACTCAGTAATTATGTTGAAACTACGGGCATGAAATAATGGGGCACAGCAGTTTTAAAGAGCATTCTTGTGAACAATGGTCCTTTATTTTACTGCAGCCATTTAAATAAAATCTGAAATTGTTAACTAGAGCAATTAAATTGTAGGAAATCGTTAATAACATGCTGTCGTGTTCCTAAGGATTTTTTTATTGACCAGAAACTTCATAAGAATCAATGTCATGTACAAAACTAGCTTTAAAACATGGCTTTGCATGTTTTCTCTTGTGTGAAGCTCTCCAATTCAAGTAAATTCAAAGCCTGACATTGTGTGCTTTTAGAGAACACCTACCCTGTGAATAATGCCAGCAGAATGGAGGTGTTTGATGCCACACAGCATCTGATACAGTAGGTAGGACATTCGCTCATGATCCAGTTCCATTTGGATTACCTGGCACAGGTTGGCATCCATCAGTTCCATAACCAAATACCTATTATCACAAGAAGGGAGAAAAGAGGGTGTTAGAATGATCATAGCACAAAAACGTTCTTTCACCTCATTAGTTATCAAATAAAAATGAGATCAATGTTTATTTCAACTACAAGCAAAGACTTTTATCCCTTAACAAAATATCTGCAACTTAGCACCTTCCCTGAAGATGGAAGAAGAAAATGGAATGCATCACAAACTTTCATCAACTAAGATGAATGTGCAATTTGGCCACCTGGATACAGGCGGAGCACGTGCAATTATCTTAAGGCTGTGCCTCTCAGTAAGAAAGAATGTCACTTTAACCACATTGTTTCACTTTACCGCAAGAAATGGTTATATACTTAGACATGGAACTGAATATAATGATTGTTAGCTTTTGCACTTTAGGCTAAAGCACTCCCTTGGAGCAAGTTCTATCCCATGCCCAGAGAGAAGTAGAGGGATTTTCCAGGTGAGTGCAACTTTAGGACAATGGCAAACTGGACTTCAGAAACACTTCAGGCGATCCTTAGGATGTAAGGATTTATAAATCTATCTGTAGTTAGCATAATCATTGCTTCCATCCATGTCCACAAAGCTCTCTCAGACATTCAGATTTTCAGCCATGCAGTACAAATTGGAAAGTGCCAAACAGGCTAAAAAATATATTACAGCATCTGGTCTGAGACTGGTAGTCACAGTGAAAATACAGTATCAGTATCATTTTGTTCGTTTTCAACTGAGCAATGACACAGTCCACAGAAAATGCACACACACAGTGTGTTTCTGCAGTCTAATGTGCCAAAGCAATTAGATTATTTCCAGATAAGCAATTATTTCTAGATTGCAAGTGGGAATTGTTGTTTGCAGTGACATCATTAGTACATAATGAACCATCAGTCAGGTGCTGTTGCTACTGGAAACAGTATTTAAAGAGTTGCAAACTGAGAATTGAACAGATGCTGATAGACTACTGTCTCTTCTGTTATCCAATAACCATATTTTCGTCTATTGCCCTACAAAGGATTAGAATTACCTTACATGGGGCTGCTTTGTGAATGACTCATGAGCAATCACTGATCTGGTCTAACTAACTTCACAGTAAACTGTGTTCAGCAGAATGATGCTCATTTCTTTCTGTTATACTTCATCCTTTGTAGTTCTTTACCTGTCTGCCTAAACTAAGTGTGATTGTTTCATTTCTGACCACACATCTCAGGTAATCTCAATTGGAAACAATTCCCAAAGCCGTGATTGTTTAAAATAACGTATATTATTCAAAATTTTCATATTCTGCAGCAACCACAGGCCAGTGCTATGGAAATGAGGGTGCCTCAACATGATGTAAACATAGTCTATATTAAAATTTCAGAGGGGATAAACCAGTAGATTACTCAAGTACAAGCAGTGGCAGGTAAATAGCCCTTGGCCACTTATATGCTTCAATTAGCCAAATAGCAGGCTCCACCTACTTTACCGCTGGAATTTTAATTTGCAATCCCCAACCTCCATTTGCTGTCTGATTCCGGTAAAATCCAGGGTAGGAACATGAGGTGAGTGCATTGCAATGTCGATACCAAAACTAGATATATTTTAAAGGTTGAGGAGGTGCAGGATACGTAAAGAGATTAGGAGCAGTGGGATTAATATTTAATTTCTCCAGAAAGAACTAGCACATATGTATAAATAGGTGAAAGGCCTCCTTCAATATTGTAAGCCTCCATGGCAGTTCAGTTCTGTTTCCTTCTAGCCAGTTTTCCATTAATCCCAGATTCACTTCCCATTGCCTCAGGCATAAATAGTAACCATTGGTTTAAGATTTTGCCAAGAGATTTTGGAAGTTAAGCTACATTCCGTCACTCAAATTGAACTTGGGATGTCAACTTTCTTAAAACAACACACAAAAATGTTGGTCATGAAGGATCTTCTCTAGTAACCTTGTCTTCTAGCTTGTTTTGTTATTGTAATCTGCTCTGTTGAAAAGGATTCAATTCATCTCCACATCTTTGCAAAATGGTGGTGGGATTACTGAGACTTAGCAATCTGTTATAAATAAGAGGAAAGTCTGTGATAATAAGTACGGTGTCTACAAATTGGCAATCCTGGTGCTAGACTCATGCCAGATTTTGAACCTTGTCTGTGTTTGGGTCAGACAGTTGAGGCTGGCACGATAAACTCAAAGGTTTCTCAGACCATGGAGTACTGATAATTAGTCTGTGAATCAGTTTGATAATTAGTCTGTTAATTAGTTTGATAATTAGTCCGCACAGCGCATCATTTAGCCAAGCAAATCGGTAAGTTGTTTTACTCATTTAATAAGAATTAATATATAGGCAGGGTAGTTTATAGAGTTTTCAGACATCTCTGCCTTCCAATGGTCAGTAATATAACTGTACAACCTAAGTGTATAAATAAGTTTTCATCCAATCTTCTAATAAGGTTGCCATTAGCTCCAGTGGTAAAAGCAATACTTGCAGATGGCCATGTTCCTGCTTCTGTAGCTCTCTGGTGCCTACAAGCACATTGATGTACAAACTACAGCACAGAGACAGATGTCAGTCCAACTGGTCTGTGCTAATAAATATATTACACAACATCCTTTGTTCACACTATTTAATCTCCCCTTAGCTGCACATTCCTTTCTCCCTCATGTATTAATTTCACTTCTGCTTATGTCATACTTATAGCAAAGAGACAGGCAAATTGCCTTAGCCAGTTGAAGATGGTGTTTATTTACTTTTATGTATTTGTGAATCTGAGCATCACTGGAAAGTCCAGCATTTATTGCCCATCCCCAGTTGCTCTGGAAAAGACAGTAGTGAGCCATCTTTATGTTCCACGTGAGTGTACTCATTGTTTATGAAACACACTGTGATGCCTCAGTGAATGAGATAAGGTGCATCATTCCCCTTCGGTTGTTTCTACACTTCTCCCTATTTCAATTCTGTGTAAGACTTTCAGAAACACTTATAGTGTTAAGGTCAGTCTTGTAACTTAAAAATAACAGCTTCACTCATTTAGAGCCTTCACCTTCTTTGCTGTTTTATAATCAACATATCAAATTGTATTTTTAACTAGGAATTTCCAGGCTTTTCATTTAAAGTATCTTTCATTGACATAACCCTGTATGTATATCCTATTGCCTGACTAGTCAGTGGGGTAGCCTTCCTAATTTTGTACAAAAATTCATGAAGCTGATTTGAAAGTGTCTGTCTGGTCTCTTAGACATACATATTAAATAATTAAGGGAATGATAAAGGTGAATCCAGATATGATTTGAATTCAATTATGAACACAGAACAAGGGTACATGGAAACAAGCAAGATAAGTTCAGCGGTTTAAATGGATCCAGTGTGAAGTAATGTGATTCTGCCCTTTGTGGCTCTCTGCTGCGTGTCATTGTATATGTTTATTAACAACTGAACACCTTTGGCACTTGAAAATGGGTCACCTACCACAATGGAAACATTGGGTGAGCAAGGGGGGGGCATGGGGCACAAGAGAACAGAAAAGAATGAAAGAGTGAGATAGAGACTAATTGTACATCAATGGCAGGCAAGCAACCTGGCAGCAATAGCACAAAACTTGCTTTGTTACATTTCTACATCTCAATATCACTGTGTTAAATGAAACAAAATTCAATTGAGGTGCAATAGAACTTTTAGCAGACATTGGGCTGATTATAAGAGGTTCGGCAGAGGTGAGAGGTAGGGGCTGGAATTTCCCAGTATCTTCCTGTTTCTGGCCTATTTTTAAAGAGGCCCATGAAATGGGGTAACAAGGTGTAGAGCTGGATGAACACAGCAGGCCAAGCAGCATCAGAGGAGCAGGAAAGCTGACGTTTCGGGCCTAGACCCTTCTTCAGAAATAGGGGAGGGGGAGGGGAAGGGGGTTCTGAAATAAATAGGGAGAGAGGGGGAGGTGCCCTTTAAAGCCAATGTTCTGAGGCCAACAAGACATTTTTCTGGCAGAGACGGGTGGCAGATCCTGGTAGACCATGGATCAGGAACTCCAGAATCTATTTGAGGGCCAAACTCTCAGAGCCACTGCTTCTACATGGCCACAAAGATTCTTACCTCCCATGCACTTTCTGGCCATTACTTCCTTTGCAAATCATGTCTAGCGACTATTTTCAACATGGTGTGGACCCAACTTTAATTCTGTGTCAGGCTGCAGACTCCAAAACAAATTGTCAGCCAGAATTATCTAACTTCAAGAAAACAGTTCCCAGTCGAATAAATACATAAAATACCAAGAAGAGGAACATGTTTGATTACTTACACATCCTGAAATTCTTCTAGAGATTTTTGAGGTGTAAACACATTTAATAAACTGATGATCTGTGGAACAAGACATTTTTAGTGTTATAACTTGCTTGGTGACTGTATTTCACAAATCAAATGATCACATCATAAATGTTCGCTAAGCGTTACCTGTTAGTCATATTTACATGTACGTGGGCAATATTTTTAAGTAATCAAAAAATTATTGCAATTCTCCAGCTGATGAGCTTGATTAGCTACTATCTTTGCTACATAAAATATTGATAATTAATTTCAAATATATATTTTATTTTAGTGATAAATTTTAATCCATCATATTCTCTGGTTATAAAAAGAAAACACCTAAAAAATGTAGGGCTGTGTGCATGTTTGTTTAAGTTTCCACTAATTATGTTTGAGTTGAATGTAATTTTTATTTGATAAGAATTAATTTAGCAGTTCAACTTCAAATAGACCGTGAGAAACAGAAATAGCAAAATTGAATTGTTATTCATGTACATTTACAATTGCATGATGACTATTAGTTCACAAATTTCACAAAATTGACAGTATAAAATAACAGTAGTTTGAAAGAACCTGACTACACGTTGGAAGATATAACTTTGTACATTAAGGAATGTAAAATTGCTTGTTGGTTTATTGTTCTGGGAAGATCAATACATTTGACTCATGAATAACAAAGAGTGAGTTTGCCTTGAAGACTTATACAAACACAGAGATTTCTTTAAAATATGTGGATCAAATGCTGAAAATATGACAATATCCATAGTTATGACCACATAAAATATTCTACAATAAGTCAAGATCATAACAGAAAATCTATCATGATTATGAACATAAACTAGTACTTAGCCTTTCACAAGAAGGGATAATATACTGAATGTAGTAATCTTACCTTGATCAGAACTCTCTCTGATAAGAGGAAACAGGGAAATCACTTGGTGTATTAGAATTCTCTATTTGATCAAGATTATGCTTTATGAGAATGTAAAATGAAGGCCATTTCAGTTCATCTGATTTAATCCTTACAGTATGTCAAGTCTTGTAATCTTCCCTGTTAAGTATTTGACTGTACCTAAAATGAGTTCAACATACTGGCAAGATTCTGATAGCTTCAATCCACAGACTTCCTGATAATCAGCAATGAATGTGTGTAGCAAAAACAATACAATTATATGGAGAGAGTTTAATTGTCAGATAGGCTGGAAGAGATAGAATAGCTCAAAATGCAAAGACAATATATTTCCTGAACATATTCAGGGACTCCTTTCCATGATGTTTTGAACCGTTTAATGTGATCATTGAATGTTAGTTATTGAATGATCATTCCCATGTAGATTTTCATAGTGTTTATAGTGCAGGTTATTGAATCCATTAGTGACTTACAAAAATAAACTCAGTTAAATTCAATTAAGTTTTTCAAAACAACAGCATTTGATTTATGCACCAGGAAATTTAATTCACTTGTCATACTTACTTGTCACAATTGTAAATTCAGGAAGCAGAATGGAACATATTATATCTATGCATCACACCTACTGGCTTCATGAAGTATCAGGATGACAGGAAATGGTATGAATAACTTTTTAAAAATCACATTATTCTGTTGCAATGGGAAAATCACAGGGATTCACTCAAGTTATCACAAAAAAGCTTGCACAACAGCAATTTTATATTGAGTTTTACAAACAGAAACTAAAGGTGACTTGATTTTTAGCATTCTGTAACCAACAATTTTTCTTCAAGAAAATGTTTAGTAAACAGCATGGATTGTAAAGGCTGAAATAGGCCTTTACAGGCCAACAACGTCTCTGAGATGCTCCTGTTCTGTTAAAAATGGTTCACTGCAAGTATGGTGAAAACCTAGTTTCCATGTATAAATGGTATGCCTGCTCTACATCCAGCTTTTTGACCTTAGAATTTATGACCAACTACCAATCTGCAAAATGATAGATTGCCATCAAGGAAATCAGGTTGTGCAATATCAGTACTTTCTCCAAGCACATCTTTTGATTGCAGAAGACTGTTGATTGGATTATGAGATCACTGTTAGTGAGAAAAGTAAAATTAATAAAGAAACAAATACAAATTTATCAGATTTGCAACATCTCCTCCAGATGATGCTTCACTGGAAGTTCAATAGGATGGATTTATATGGTTTATATGTGTGCACTACATTTCTGCCTCACTTCTGGAATACTAATATTGACAGAGTAGGAGCAGACTGAGGAACTTCCCTGCCTAAATTTCAGGATATTACTGGATTTGTGCATTTTTCAAAACAGCATCATGGCAACGTGCTGTGGTTGGCAACTCCAGCTGAAGGTAATTCCAGAGGATTAATTCTGATCACACGGTCTTCTGACCACAGGAAGCTTTACCATGTGATGTCCAGTCTCAAGAAACTTGATCACATGCTATTTGTTTTCCCAGTTTCTACAAGTCTGTTTACATTTACTTTGTAAATGTTGGCCCTTAGGAATTACATTGGGAAATATAGAAAATAGGAGCAGGACTAGGCCGTTTGGCCTTTTGAGCTTGTTTGGCCATTCAACATAATCATAGCTGATCATCAAACTCAATACCTTGTTTCTGCTTACTCCCTATACCCTTTGATCCCTTTAGCCCCTTTGATCCCTTTAGTTCTAAGAACTATATCTAACTCCTTCTTAAAAACATTGTGTTTTAGTATTGATCATTTTCTGTGGCAGTGAATTCCACAGACTCACCACTCTCGGGGTAAGAAATTTCTTCTCATCTCAGTCCTAAATTGCCCACCTGGTATCCTTAGAACCATATCGTTCTGGATTCCGTGATCATCAGCAATATCCTTCCTGTGTTTACTCTGTCTAATCCTGTTAGAAATTTGTAATTTTCTATGAGATCCCCTTCATTCTTCTAAACTACAATGAATATGTCCTAACTAATTGTGTATCTTTTCATATGTCAGTCCTGCCATTCCAGGAATCATTCTGGTAAATCTTTGCCGTACTTCCTCCATAGCTAGAACATCCTTCCTGAGTCAAAGAAATCAAAACTGTGCACAATACTCCAAATTGATCTCACCAGGGTCCTATGCAATTGGAGCAAGACATCCCTGCTCCTGTGCTCAAATCCTCTCGCTATGAATGCCAATATACCATTTGCCTTCTTCACCACCTGCTGCACCTACATGTTTACTTTCAGGGACTGTGTACAAGGACACCCAGGTCTCATTGCACTTCCCCCTTTCCCAATTGATTGCCACTCAGATAATAGGCTGTTTTCCTGTTTTTGCTAGCAAAGTGGTCCACCTCACATTTATCCACATTACAAATTATCTGCCATGCTTTTGCCCACTCAATCAACTTGCCCAAATCATACTGAAGCATCTCTGCATCCTCCTCATTATTCATCCATCTAGCTTTGTGTCACCTGCAAGCTTAGAGGTATTACATTTAGTTCTCTCATCTAAATCATTAATATATGTTTTGAAAAGTTGGGGTCCAAGCACAGATCCCTGTGGCACACTACTTGTTACTGCCTAACACTCAAAAATACCTGAATTAAATATTCTTGCTCAATATGCCTCCAGCCGCTTTTATGCATCAAGTTCCAAGAACTGGGAGGCCGCTGATGAGCAGGCAAAGAGCTAGGGGAAACGAAGGATAGGGAGAGAGAAGAGAAACTAAGGACAGAGAAAGAGAAAAAAAAACAAAGGCACCCCTACATTCCAGATCTCTGCATTTCAGACCACTCTGTCCCAGAGATTTCTCTCATTTGAGAGAGCTCCCACTGGTTTCTGATTCTCCAGCCCTCTCCTGACTACAATCTGTGAATGGTATCACAGAGCTGGAACTTTCTCCTGCGATATCGCAAGGTGTTTGATAGTGCGGAATATTTAAAACTTCTGGATTGTTGACACCAATGTTTGAGGGGGGAGTCTCTGATTTTGGAAAGCATGTGATCACCCCAGAAGGTTGAGTAATCCTATGGACTGTGTGTACTTATGTTGCAAATGGAAAGCAGACTTAAATCTTAAGTACTGATACAAAAATATTTCTTCTGTTAAAGCCGTGATTCCATGGTCATACACTCATTAAAAATGAATAAACTGAGGGGCACAGTGGCTCAGTGGTTAGCACTGCTGCCTCACAGCGCCAGGGACCCAGGTTCAATTCCAGCCTCGGATGACTGTGTGGAGTTTACACATTCTCCCCATGTCTGCGTGGGTTTCCTCCAGGTGCTCTGGTTTCCTAGAGGTGCAGATTAGGTGGATTGGCCATGCTAAATGTAGGATTACAGGAATACGGTGGAGGTGGGGGGCGCTGAGTCTGGGTGGGATGCTCTTTGGAAGGTCAGTGCTGATGAGCTGAATAGCCTCATTCTGCACTGTACAGATTCTATGATTCTAACTTCAGATCACTGGCTACAATTTCCAATCTGGAGCCTTATGCAAAAGCTGTTCCTCCAAGGAACAACTCATCACAAAAAGATCCCATAAGCATACGTAATGTGAAGTAGTCTGGAGGTGTATCTTGTTGATTAATATGCTGTCTATTCAGATGGTTGCTGACTTTATCTCTGTGACACTGCACACAGTGGGCTTTCAGCTTCAGTTGGGTAGTTAGGGAGATATCAATTTGATTTCCCATCCAAACAAAGGGTCAGAATAAAGATCAATTTGGTCCACTCCTAGTTACACTTGTTGATTGCTAGCTCAAATTAACACTGACAGAGATTCAGTCGAAGCTGTTAATATATCATCACCCTCTCAACACATTTGGGGAATGACACATCGTAAAATGGGAACTGATCAAGGCTAAATAATTTTTCGGCAAGGAAAATACAGCAACAGAGTAAATCTGTCACAAGCATTTAAGTTTCAAGTATGGTTTTCAAGTTTAGTAACATCCCACCTCTCTCCAGAAATTAAAATTGATTCTCCATATAAAATAGCATGTCACAGGAGGAACCTTTCTGAGTCTGCGCAGGATGTTTTGAAGAAAAAGACACAGCAATTGCCATTCCCCTGCTCTTTCTCTGTATTCCTGCACCTCTTTCTTTCCAAATATTCATCAATTCCTTTTTGAAGACTACAATTCAACATATATCCATCATCTGATCAGATATTGTATTCCAGGGAGAGAAAATGTTTCATGCAATAGTGAGAGAGTAGAGTATGAGCCTTCATGAGAGGTGGGTGCAGTATAAGTGTGAGAGTAAGAGTGAGATTGCCTGGGAATGGAGAAGTCATTGACCTTCTTCCTACAGTGCTGGACATTCCTCCAGACAGCTGAGACTGTGCTTTCCCAAGTGCCAACCTCCAACTGGACTGGCATGGTCTGGTGTCGTGCCCTCCACTGTCAGTCCTGGACAGAACTATGATAAGATTCAGTCCAATATTTCAAGTCAACAACTTTTTGTCAGCACTGTTCATCATGAAGTTAAGATTTCCTCTCCATACAGGAGAGCCCTGACACGCTTAATCTTCCTAGCATTTCTGTTTCTATGCAGAATACTTCAGTCCTAGTCAAATTCTATAGAATACCACCGTATTCCCAGCAAATTTACAGTGTGAACATTCTGTGATCCTGTTGCCGGTTGTATGCAGAAAGGACTTCAAAGCTGGGAGTTAGGTATATGACGGGGTGGGTGGGTGGGAGGGTGGAGGTGCTGGTGGTGGTGGTGGTGGGGGGTAAGTGACTTTTTGATAGGACAGGTAGGAAGGAATGGCTGGTGAGGTAGCATTGTTAGCATGGAATTGAATAAGTATGCTAGCAAGAAATGATATTGGATTGTAAGATGTGGAATCCATATGGCTGGAGGTAGGAATAAAACGGGAAAGAAGACACTGGTAAAACTAATTTATGGGCCCTTAACAGAAGCTATATGGTGAGACAGAGAATCAGATAGTGAGGCCATGTAACAAAGCCAGTACAATAATCATGGATGACTTCAATCTTTATGTCGATTGGAGAGTTAGATTTGCAGAAGAAGCCATGAGGTAGAATTTATAGAATGTATTCGGGACAGTTTCCTGGAACAATATGCTGTGAATCCACCAAGGATCAAATTATTTTAGATCTGATGATGTGTAATGAGACAGGTTTAATAGATGGTGTCAGAGTAAAAGATCCCCTTTGGAACAGTGACCAATACAGTTTAGAAATTAGCATTCAGATTGAGAGGGAGGAACTTGAGTTGGAAACAATAGTGCTAAGCTTCAGTAAGGATAATTACACAGGAAATGAGGGCAGAGCTGTCTGGAGTGGACTGGGAAAGGAGTTTAACAGCAAAGATGTTTGAGGAACAATGGTAGATGTTTCATAGAATAAATATAAACTCACAATATAAACTTAGCAGTAACATAACTTCACTTTATTTTCTTTCATTCTACTTTATTATTTTGTTTTGACTTGATTTAACTTTCCTTCCTTTGAGGTGGCATCCCTTACTGAAATCCAAGCAGCTACTACTTCTTTACAAATGATACCTTTTGTAGTTTCAAATTAATTAAGCTAATTTTCCAGGGCACTTTCTAACAGCATCTTCTCATTAGACAATGTACCAAAGGTAATTCTTACATTATGCTTGGACTTCTTGTTACATTCAGCCTGGCAACTGAATAGCCCAAGTCCAACTATCTCTGTTGAGTAGCCCCAAGTAGAGATGCCTTATAGGTCCAACTGTTTCTTCTACTGGAAGATTTCTTGTCTCTGGGTCCTTCTCTTTGTTGTGCATTTCCAATTGTTTTCATATTGCTTTCTACACACATAACCAATTTTCTCACTTCTAACCAATTTTACAGTCATTCTTTGTGGATTTCTAATGTTCTGTCTACCCCCCACCTCCACCAAACATTTGGTCTATTATTCTCATTAGAAACCTTGTGAGTTTAATCTTATGCCATCCTCAATTTGTTTAGTCAGCCATGACAGTATCATTTTTACACTGCAGTTTATATTCCTCAAGGAAATATAAAATAAATGAGGTTTTCAATTTTAAAAGAATGGTTGCTATTGCTTACCTACAATCATCTTTATAATTTCCTTTCTACATCTATCTTAGCCAACTTACCTCTTATATGTCCACAATTGGCTTTGTTTACTTAGGGCTGTCACTTTGGACTTAAGCACATCACTCACAAGCTCAATATAAAATGCTTGGAATACCTTGGAGTATTTAGTTTCCAACTTTGTCACCCTGTAACCTCAGTAATGGCTATTAAATCAAACCCATTCATCTCTAGAGACAACACAATGTGGATCTGGAGGAACACAGCAGACCAGGCAGCATCAGAGAAGCAGGAAAGTTGACGATTCAGGTCGGGACCCTTCGTCAGAAATGCTATCTCTCCCATTCATCTTTGTTTGTGTAATTAATTAATCTGTCTTGTTATGAAATGCAGAAGTGGGAAGTAAGGAAATGAGGGGGACAGTCCCAAAAATGATAGCACCATAAAGCACCACCAGCCATGCATTTGTTGCTGATTGGCCAAGTGGCACTGTGCCAACTCACCTAGGCTGCTATTGAGAAAATTATCTTAAAAATGGTGGGGTAGTTTTGGACACTGCCTACTTCCTCTCCAGGGCCATGGATAGAACTATGGAAGAGAAGCAGGCAGTTGGGTCTAATGGTCTCCTCCATAGCCCACTGCCTGGCCCTATTGATGGCTATCTTGGCCAGGCCAGGACATAACCTCCATCAATCTCAAACATGGATCCTGAGTGGGTGAAGCTGAGAGGATGAAATGAACATGCCAGAATTTGGCGTCAGTTTTGCCACTCTACCTTTGAGTTGCATGTGGATGGGCCCCAATGATGCAAGTGGGACCCAGTGGAGTCTGGGCCTGGGTGCTGGGCTGCATGCCCCGGAAAATGACGTCTCCATTGGTCATACCAACATTAGAAATAGAACAGGCGCAATGACATAGATAAGATTTTGTAATAAGCAGCTGCTGGTATTGCCCCACTATCTCTATTGACAGGTAGCTGCCATTGTCACTTGAGCACCTGTTGGTTGGATTGAAACGATGTAAATCTGTCCAGACAAGACACTTTTTCAGCTAGTCAGTTCTATCTCTGAGGATGGGCACAGGGATGTTTTTGCATCGGACCTGTAGTGTGTTTAACCTGACAGTCCTTGATGCTGCCATTGTGTTTGATAAGTGCAACGGAACATAGATCCTTCAACCAGATGAATTTGAAAAGCATCCAAAGTTATTTAATAGGAGATATAAAACAACTTAAATTAAAATTAATGGGAGAATGTAATTTGACTATTAAGAGTGCAGAATAATGGGGAGAGAATCTAAGTTTACATCTTACTCAACTACTGGAATAAAAATTGGAAAGGACACATAGGTCAGTATGACAATTCACAAGACTCGGTTTACAAATGAACACAGTTACTAGATCATGAATAGACGGACACCCATGCCTAATTCTCCATTTTGTGCTCTCTTTAAGTATGGTTCATCCTGGATGTACAGCTTTGCAAGATTTAGCATGAACTCTATACTTCATCATTTGAACAGATTGTAGATTAATATCAATAGAATGTTTCAGTCCAGATCAATCTTTGAAATCTTGGATGAACACCCATCTATGTAAAATATGACAAATTCATAAAGGAAGGAAGGGAGTGCATTCTCATCATCACTATCAGGGAAGAAATCAGACACATTGTTATGTTTGTCTGATTTGATTGACTGATTAAGTTATTGCTGTCACAAGTACCAAGATAGAGTGAAAAGTGTTGATTTGTGTGCTATACAGGCAGATTGTGCAATAGAAAGTGCATCAAAGTAGTAGAACAGAGGGCAGAGCACAGTGTTGCAATGGCAGAGAAGGTGCAGAGAGAGAGAGAGAGAGATCAGAATTAACATCTGAGAGGCCTGTTCAAAAGTCTGAAAAAAAGCAGGGAAGAAGCTGTTCCTGAATCTATTTGTACGTATATTCAAACTTTTATATCTTTTACCTGACAGAGGAAGGTGGATGAGAGTATAACTGGGGTGACAGGGGGTCTTTTGATTATGTTGATTGCTTTCCCAAGGCAGTAGGAAATATAGAGGGAGTCAATGGATGGAAGGCTAGTTTGTGAGATGGACTGTGCTGTGTTCACGACTCTCTGTAGTTTCTTACGTTCTCGGGAAGAGCAGTTGCCAAACCACACTGCAATACATCCAGATAGGATGCTTTCTATTCAATAATTCAATAACATGACAATTGACCAGATTCTACAACAGGCAGACAAACCAGCCTGTCAAATTACCACCCAGGCGTTGAAGCAAAGATTTACTCTAAGGAACCTACAACCTGCTAAAATCTTTAATACAGGATCCAATATGACTGCTGCTAAGACATGACTTAACTGCCACTGTAATTTTATTGGTAAAATTATTCTGAAAGGCAATAATCAATTATGCTATTCCCAGTGACCTATATCTGATGTTGTTATAGATGTCATTGGCTTATTCTTAAGTAAAAGCCTGGAACTAACAACACTTAGGAATCTGATAGCGCTAAATGGTACAAACATTCTTTGCAATAGATGGGAAGATCAGCTCAATAGAACAGGCAGGCATTTTGATAATTGTCAAGTGTATTAACAGCTTTCCTATAGCCCTCAGTAATGAATGCCATCTCTATGTTGTTCCTGTGCGTGCATCTTCTAGGATTAATCAGGATATGTTAAAAATGATAAACTTACGTTTTTGTGGTTGACACATTTCATGAGCACAAGCTCTCGATAAGCCCGTTTGGCATGCGTCTGGTTCTGAAATGGTCTGCTGAGTTTCTTAATGGCCACATTTCTATCAAGTACAGCATCATATGAAGCACTACATCAAGGAATATAATTATAAGCAATGTTAGTCAAACTATTTGTGATTGTGATGTTAGTATAGTTATCAACACTTGCTCCAAAATCATTCTGTCTGATACCAGTGTGTAAATGCTGATCAACTCCCTCTGAAATCCTTGCAAACATTTGTAGCTCGGGTTGTGGATGAAGTTATTGGTTTGCTCGCCAAGCTGGCTGGTTATCGTAGAGATGTTAGGTAACATGCTAGGTAACATCATCAGTGAGGCCTCCATGAAGTGATGTTGTTCTACTCTGCTTGGTATTTGTATGATCCGGTCTGTTAAGTTGGGGTGTGTCATTTCCGGTTCTGTTCTGCGGGGGTTTGTATATGGGGCCTAATTCCACGTTTGTTGATTGCATTACGGTTTGAAAACCAGGCCTCTAGGAATTCCCGTGTGTGTGATTGGCTTGAGCTAAGATGGTCACACTGTCGCAGTTAAATTGATACCTTTCATTGTCCAAGTGCGCTGAGATGAGGGAAGGTTCATTGTGCCACACTATGACAAACACTCACAAGGACTAAAGACCCCATACCCATGACATGCAGGACCAAAATAGTTTACAAAATACCTTGCAATGACTGCAACAAACATTACGTCGGCCAGACCGGAAAGAAACTAGCCGTCAGGATACACGAGCACCAGCTAGCAGCAAAACAACACAATGAACTTTCCCTCATCTCAGTGCACTCGGCCAATGACAGCCATCAATTTAACTGGGACAATGTGACCATCCTAGCTCAAGCCAACCACAGACACACACAGGAATTCCTAAAGGCCTGGTTTTCAACCCATAATGCAATTAACAAACACGTGGAATTAGACCCTATATATAAACCCACGCAGAACTGAACTGGAAATGACACAATCCAACTTAAGAGACTGGATTATATAAATTCCAAGTGGAGTAGAACAACATCGCTTCATCAGAGGCCGCACTACTGATGTTACTTAGCATGATGACAAAACATCTGTACAATAACCAGCCAGCTCGGTGAGCAAACCAACAACCTCATCCTTCATTATTTTTGTAGAGGAATTCATCTATTGAATTTGAAAAGGTTAATGCCTCGGCGTAAACAGTAGCAGTAGCAGCAATGCATTAAACATTTCTGTTAGTGGTCCTCAGTTTAATTCCAGAGTTAATGTGATATGTTAATAGTATGAGGGCTACAGACAAAGGGTTGCACAATGAGATTTTAGTTGGGTGCAGAATGCAGTGCAAAGGGTTCCATGACTTTCTAAACATTGCTTTCCTTCTCCGTAGCTATAGGTAGACGTCACAGTCTGTGCTGGACATTTCATGTGAAAACCAAATTATTTGAATAAAATATCACATTGTAAATACTAAAGCAATTCCAAACAGCTTCAGGATGGACTCATGGTAAACTCAGTCCACATCTGGGTGACTTGATAAATGCGTTCAATGATTACATTGTGATAATTAAAAGTGACACCAGAACAAATCCCCTAAATTTACTCCTTTCCTTTTACTTTCTTTCCACTTTGTGAAGTTCTTTTCAGCATATCTCTGCAGAGCAGCATAGCAGGCAAACTTCATGAAACCTTTCCCAATGGTAGTCCACAACCACTGGCCATACAATTTTTTATGACTGTGTTGCAACTCTTGCAGTTTCTAAATATCCCCTGCCCAATTGGCCTTGTCTGTGGAATAATGCTGAGTTTTGATGCATTGGTTCTGTCCAAGGATCCAGCAGAGAAGAGGACCCTTTGAGGAATAATGCATTTTACTCAATGCATTCCATTATTTTGGGAGGAAAAACATTTGCTATGAAATATCCATCCTAAATTCTAATAAACCCATTCTAAATCCATAGGCCCCGCCTCCAAAGGAGGCTGGGAGAGTCCAGAGCGTCTCAACCACACACTTCATCAAATACCACCCACCCCTCCTGTGGCAGAGTCTACTGCTCCAGCATTGGAATATTCAGCTGCTGCAGAACCCTCCAGCTGGAGCGAAGACCATGAGGGACTGCCAAAGAAGAAGGAGGAAGGTTAGCTTGAATGTTAACTGCACAGACATTTCTCTCACAGATACAGCCCCTTATCAAGAAGTAAGAGATCTGATGTCGAAGACAATTTCCATTGATGAAAAATTAACCGCCCAAATGAAATATTACCTTTATAACCATATTAGATTACCTTCATAAAACAGAAGTATCTGTTACCAATACCAATTGCTATATGACCAACAAATCCAATGCTCCCGAACTTTACATTTGGAAGAGGCTGACAATTTTCAAGTTAACTGTGCTGCAAAGTTTACCAGACACTGTTTTCCACATTTACATTCCTTGCTCATATTATAGGTAGAATGAGGAAGAGTTTCAGGTCTGTGTTGTGAGGCAAAACACGATCAATTTTTTCACATGAAGTACAATGCAGTTCTCTTCACTTGATACGCTGGCAGGCAATTTGTTGTTCTGCTAAATTGAAAAAAAGGTTGGAGTTGTTGGTTGGTTCGCCGAGCTGACTGGTTTTTGTGCAAATGCTTTGTCTCCCTTCTAGGTGACATTGTCAGTGCTTTGTAGTCTCCGTTGAAGCGCTGTTGTTCTGCCCCGCTCTGAATTTATATGGTCTGGTCTGTCATGGTGGGCAGTCTTGTTTCTGGTTTTGTACTGTAGTGGTATGTGGCTGGGGTCTATTTCAACAGGTTTGTTGCATCGGTGGTTGAAAACCAGGCCTCCAGGAATTCTCGTGCTTGTCTCTGTCTCGCTTGTCCTAGTACTGTAACTTTGTCCCAGTCAAAATTGATGCCCTTCTGTGTCGGAGTGTATTGAAATGAGGGAGAACTGGTCATGCCATTTTGCTGCAAGTTGGTGTTTAAACCCCCCCTTAAAATAAACACGTACTTGCAGCAAAACAGGACGACCAATTCTCCCTCGTTTCAATACACTCCAACATAGAAAGGCATCAATTTTGACTGGGACAAAGTTACAGTACTAGGACAAGTGAGACAGAGACAAGTGCGAGAATTCCTGGAGGCCTGGTTTTCAACCACCGATGCAATTAACAAACATGTTGAAATAGACCCCATCCACATACCACTACAGTATAAATCCGGAAACAAGACTGCCCACCATGACAGACCAGACCATACAAATTCAAAGCGGGACAGAACAACAGCGCTTCAACAGAGACTACAAAGGACTGACAATGTCACCTAGAAGGGAGATGGAACGTTTGCATGAAAACCAGTCAGCTCGGCGAACCAACCAATAACTCCAACCTCAACCTGAGCTATAGATCTTCGTTAAAATATGAAAAAAACATGTCTGAGACAATGAATAACTAAGACACACAGATCAAAAGGCATTAGGTTTTTTTCATTAGTTTATACTGAAATAAAGGCGTAATGGTGCTATAACTTGCTTTGGTGACCCTGGTGTGGAAAGGGAAATGTTTAAACTTTAGCAAGATTTTAAATGGCTACATAATATACAGAGAGTTAGGATTTTTTAAAAAAGTGTCTTTCTGTAGTTGTGGTTTTTGACCACCTCGTGTCAGTACAGAGCAAACTAGTTCTCTCAGAATCTATTTCCCTGCAGGCCATATTGTTTCTTCTATCTCGAATGAAGACAATTTATACATATTTACTGGACATTAATAGGCTTCCTAACTTCCTTCCCTTCAACTCCACTGTTTGTTGTTTAATTTATTCTTTCACAAGATGTGGGCACCACCGGCTATGCCAGAATTTATCCCCAAAAAGCCCTGGAGAATGTGGTCCCTTTTTGAGTGTCTGCAGTCCTAGCAGTGCTTTAGTAAAGAAGGTCTAGGATCTTGACCAAGGGTCAGTGGAGGAACAGTAACTTTGTTCCAAGTCAGGATAGGGTGTTGGGACTTAGAGGTGAATTTGCAAATGGTCTGCTCCCATGATCTGTTGCCCTTGTCGGTACTTGGTGGCAGAGGTTCGGGGTTTGGAAGGTTTTAAAGGAACCTTTGGTCAGTTGCTACAGCACATCTTATAGGTTGTATGTACTGATGCCACTGTGCATGGTGGTGGAGGAAGTGAATATTGAATGTGGTGGATGAGGTGCCAATCAAATAGGTTGCTTTGTCGTGGATAGTGTCAAGCCTCTTGATTGTGTTTGAAGATGCCCTCATCCAGGAAAATGGCATGTATTTCGTCAAAGTCTTAACTAGTATCAAATAGACAGTAAACAGGTTTTGGGAGCAGTAAGTAAATAACTCACTGCACAATTCTCAATATCTGACCTGTTCTGCATCCACAGTATGTATATGAATGGTCCAGTTCAGTTTCTGAATGATGGTGACCCTCAGGATGTTGTTAGTTGGGATGCAGTGTTAGAAATGCCATTAAATGTTAATGGGAGATAGTTAGATTCTCTTTTCTTGGAGACGTTCATTGCCTGGCACTTGTGTGGTGTTAATGTTACTTGTTACAAGGGTTAAGCATTTCTTATCATGTGTAGTGTTGAAAATATATCTCACCTCTGCCCACATCCAGTTACAATTATTACTTCCACCTCCTTAAACCATACACCATAACGTCTCTTGGCATCAGGTTAAACCTGGGCAAGGAAACTTCCTGCTGATTCATATACCGTCCTCCCTTCGCTGATGAATCAATGCTCTTCCACGTTGAACGATAATTGGAGCAAATACTGAGGGTGGCACAAAACAACTGTGGGTGGGGGATTTCAATGTAGATTTACCAAGAATGGTTTGGGCAGCAGGAATACAGATTAAGCTGATCGGCTCTTTTCTTTTATTCATTTTGTGGGATGTGAGCGTCATTGGCTGGCTAGCATTTATTGCCTGTCCCTAATTGCCCTTGAGAACATGGTGGTGAGTTGCCTTCTTGAATCGCTGCAGTCCACCTTAAAATCATAGTTGCCAGACTGGGTTACGTGAGCTAACCAACAAGGGGAAAGATTATAATTGACCTCTTCCTCACCTATCTCCCTGTCAAAATATATCTGTCAATGACACA